CCGTTACAATAAATTTTCACGTTTTTATGCGTTTGTAAGATATTGCTCGTGTAACGGGGCGTTACGTTTTTTGATTTAAGCAGAACTTAAAATACTCAACAAGATTTATGAATTAAAAATGTTATTTCTTAGGATTGTTTGATGTTATGTTGAAATGTGAACTTAACCTATAAGAAAGTAAAGGAAATTATTAATTAAAATATATTTTAACTAGAGACCCCCCCTCCTCTAGTTTCGCCTGGATAGGACCTATTAATGTGACGTTATATAGATTTAAAATAATCAAAGGCCAATTAAAAAAAATTGCGCAGTTTCCTCCTGACATTGCTCTATATTTGTCCGTTTAATCACCATCGGCCACAAAGATTACCCCGGATATACAGACAGACGGACAAAATTTTTCGAAATTAATGATTTTTATATTTACGCAAACACTACGCATTGAATATAACTATTTAATTAACTTACCTTTAATTCCCGGCGTTTCGGGTGCTTTACAGCACCCATGGTCACGGGGCAGGACCATTACGAAACAAACAAGGGGAAATCTGCAGTCTGTGAATATGTTCAAGATCGTCCCCACCATTACATCAGATTTTGATCCCCAGAAGACACAAACTTGCACGTTTACCGCTAAAAAGAACCCCTTCGTCGTATCTCCTCAGTTTCAAGGCACTCTCTTTGTTGCTTCAACCAGTATCGAAATCCTCGGCGTCGACATATTGAGTAACGTGCAGTTTCGTGGTCACTTGGAAGAGAAGGCCAAATTGGCCTCTAAAAAGCTTGACGTGCCCAGCAGATCGGGACAGTATTTCATACCGGCTCACCACCTGCAACTTTACAAGGCTCAGGTTCGGCCGCACATGGAATACTGTTCCCATCTCTGGGCCGGCGCTCCCCAGTACCAGCTCCTTCAATTTTATCGCATCCAGCGCAGAGCAGTTCGAATCGTCGGGGACCGAGCTCTTTCCGATCGGCTTGACTCATTGGTACTGCGAAGAGATGTTGCATCCCTTTGCGTATTTTATCGCATTTACCATGGGGGGTGCTCTGAGGAATTGTTCGGACTAATTCCAGCCACACAGTTTCACCATCACACATTGCGACAAAACTCGCGATACCATCCATACCATCTGGATGACCGGCGGTCCACCACTAAGCCATTTAAAAGAAATTTTCTTCCTCGCACATCTTAGGGATTTTGAAGAAAGAGCCTATTCCGTTCTAAAAGGCCGGCAACGCATCTGTTATCCCCCTAGTGTTGCAGTTGTCCATGGGCGGCGGTAACCACTTACCATCAGGTGAGCCGTATGCTCGTTTGATCCCCTCCTATATAAAAAAAGATTTGATAAACCACAAATCCTCGCAAAAGAACACCAATTCCTAAGGATGATATTTGGTACAATCCAATTCTGACACACCTCTGTCGTCTACTTTACGTCCATATACCTACGGATAAGCTCGTTAAAGGTACATACTCTTAATTTGGCCCATCTTCAATATACATTTCACTCTGGTATTAACATACTGTTGACTAATATTTCAAAGTCAATACGATATAAAATAAAAAAAAACCACGCTTGTCAATGAGAGTTAATAATTTTATATATATATATATATATATATCATCTGGAAAACAGAATATATATAATAAATTCTGTTTACCAGATGTCACAAGTAGGGACTGAGGAGAAGTTGTATGTTACACAATATTTATTTATTTAAGTAAATTAGTGTTTAACAGTTTCTAGAGTATACACAAAACAATGCCTCTACTTAGAATATCCATAGTTTGGTTTATTCTTTTTTTTATAGAATACATTTTTTATAGAATACAATATAGGTGACAAACGAGCACACATTACACCTGATGGTAAGTGGATGCTGTGGCCCATAGACCATTTATCATTATTATTTTTTATCATTTATTCTCGATTAAATAATCAAAACCCGGATGCGTTGTCACCCCTGAGGACTTAGATCTAATGCCTCGTTTCCAGTAAAAAAGGGGTCTCCAGATCTCTACATTCACCATATAAAACAGTAGTATTAAGGTGCTATTTTACGCTGGTATTCTGTGACAGTGTGGTCCCCGGTCGAGCTGACCCATTCGTGCTACAACCATAACGTATTTGCAGCGTGGCTCTACCTCGTATAATTAATTTAAAATCCAATTGTAAAATATAAATAACATTGCACAAAGAAACATTAATTCTTATATTTTCTAATAAATAAATATGACTGCTGATCATGAGGTCCCAGATTCCGAAACCCGCTCGGGCCAAAAAAAATTTATTGAGTTTTTGACAAGATGTTCTCACCCCCGTACCTCGGAAAACACATAAAGTCGTTGGCCCTGCGCCTAATTTCTCTTCGGTCGTGTTGAATAGCTAAAGAAACATTCTTGTTGTTCTTTATCAGCCGTTTTCCCATAGCTGGACATATGCCTACTTGAATGATGAGGAAATCTTCTCACTTTGAAATCTCTGTAAAATCATCAGTTGTGTCAACAACAAACAAAACAAAATTGGCAACAGTCACAGCCGTGAAGGCTGTCCATTGTGGGCCAGTTTTGTGCAACAGTGGCCTTGCAAATTTACAAACACCCATGAGAGAATTTTCATGTATTCACTCATTATGATTATATTACAAACACGTTGCTAACCGGTCAGAGTTACTGTCTTTTATACCGTTTACTTTAAACGTTTACTGTCTGCTACATCGTAGGTCTGGGGTTTTTTATCAGTCCACCTAATGGTAAGCTCATAGATACCTACATCTATTCCCGAATAAAAAACAAAATGCAGACGTGTTGTTAGCCCTCAGGACTAAAATGAAATGTCTTTTTTCTAGTAAAAGAGGTGTCTGGTTCTCTACACTCACCATACGAACTTTTTACTTTTTATTATAAATACATAACACCACATTTTTTAATTCTATCCTGGCGAAAACCAGGGCAGGTTGCTGGTTATAAACTACAAAATTACAAATTTAAATAAAAACTTGATGGTAACGCCTGCCTATTGTTTCAGAGCGTAATATATTATTTACATAATCAAATAGATCTAAGTGGAGCAAACCATTGCCTAAGTAAGTATTTATGGTGTGTAATTCTTATCAAAATTTCCCAACACTTTAACGCAGTGTTGTGACAGCCTAATCCTTTTGGGACCTTATACGTGGTAGAGCCACGCTGCAGCTATATATATATATCATGGTTGTAGCACGAATGGGTCGGCTCGACCGAGGAGGGGCCACGCTCTCACAGAATACCAGTGTATTACAGAGTACAAGCTATGTTTCGTATGGTTTGTGTAGAGAACCATTTTCACTGGAAACGAGGCATTCCATCTTAGTCTTCAGAGGTGACAACGCATCTGCATTTTGATTCTTAATCGAGGATATATGTCTATGAGCTAAAGTATCCACCTACTATCAGGTGGACTACATGCTAGTTGGGCACCCTTATTGTATAAAGTAAAAAATATATATCTAGAAACATAGGCATATTAAATAGGAGTAGATCAACTGCTTCTTCCTGATAGCAAGTCAAAATAACAAACTGCAGTTGCCAACCTACCTGCCAAGCGTGGCAGCGGTGACAAGTGGCTTTCCTACGGGTTATGTTCAGCAATGGAGTAGTGACTTATAACAAAGTCACCGACGTAACCTTCCGTATAAGCCGGCTGAAGTGGCAATGGGCTGGTCACATCTATCACAGAAGCGATTACCATCGGAGTAATGTGTCATATAATGGAGACTGCGTTTAAGTAAAAGTAGTGTGCGACGCCCCCTGGCTAGAATGGGCGACGATCTGCGCTAGGTGACAGACAGCATTTGGATGTATGAAGCCAAAGACCGAGCTAAGTGACACGTCTTAGAAGAGGCCTACGTGCACTAGTGAACTGTCGTAGGCTGATGACGAAGGGACTTAATGTTACAACCTGTATACGTCCCAAGGCATTGGTCTCCGCTCATTTCTGGGAGGGTTTAATGAAGGGAATTTTGGATGCTACTGCTGTTGAATTTACAATGTCATGACCGTGTTAATATTGGGCAGCGTTTATATTTAAAACATCGTAACAAAAATGCTCCTAAATATATATAGGTAAAATATATCTACACATATGAATAAAATTGAGTTGCCTGTCTGTAATATTAAAAAAGCTGCCTTATATCTTAATATTAAGCTGAGGGGGTTAATTTGCATGCCATGAAGTTATGAATGACAATTTTTTTTATAATTGATTAATAATTTTTTTTCTATTCTTGTCTGTCTGGCTGTCCTGGTCCTGGTTATTTTCGGAATGGCTGATTTCGATTGTAATAAAACTTCTCGAACAAAAATAGAGTAATGCGTCGAGTGATCTAAGCTACATTTTATACGAAAAACTTGCCATTTGCAAAAAAAAAATTAATAGTTTTTGATTATATTAAATCTTAAGAAGGCCACATTCATAGATCTTACCCATACAAAGCCGGGGCGGGACGCTGGTTGAATATAAGTAAAGTTCAAAAATAAGTTGTTTGCTTAAGAAGTCCTCCAGAGCGAATTCGGTCATGGCGATCAGACCTGACGGAGATCAACCACCTACGTGGGAGAGGTTTATAGTGCATGAGTGTGTTTGCAAACACAGGTACACTACCTATTTCATAATTCTCATTGGCCGATGGAACGGTAATCCGATACGACAAGATGGATCAGGCGCAAGACCAACAGCTTTACGTGCTTTATGTTATTTGCTTTACGTTGATTTTTTCCCTTAAGTTTTTGTGTAGTGTTCAATTTGACTCGACCCCTTTTGGTTATAAACCAAACTAATGCCAGTTCCGAATATGACATGGAATTCTTTTTTTAAGGTTTTTATGGGGATGATTGCAAGTAGAAAAATTAAATACTTTAAAAAAATATTATTAAAAAGCACGTACAAAATTATTTACAAAATCATTTGAGTATTTACTTCTAATTCTAATATATCACTTGAGTAGCTTATGGTGAATTAATGTCTTTGCATGGATTTCACTTCTGACCCCTCTTCACCGAGGATCTGCACGTTCCTTACCTGCTTCCGCTGTGGTGCTGCTGTAGTCAGCTCCGTTGAAGGCGCTGGAGTTGGCATGAAATCAGGGTTGATGGCCAGCATGAGCATTTTCAACAGCAACGCCTCACGTATATCCGCTGGCAAGTATTCTGGTGCATCTTCGACGTTGTTGGAAGACGACCCAGCCGTATCATAATGCCGAGTATACAGCCTTCTCCTCGGAACGTACCTTTGACTCTCGTACTGTGGATTCTCGTAACTCATTTGATTAGAGTACGCATCCTGTCGGTACTGCTGATCGTATCTGTAGTCGTACCGGTCATCGTCTACGTAATGACGGGATATTTGGTGTTGATTGTAATCGTTATCTTGACGATACATTGGTAAGGGCTGATAGGGTGGGCCCGGTGCTACTAATTGATCCATGAGGGCTTGCAAACGATTCTGTCTTAGTATCAGAATCTGTAGAAGCCGTTTCAAGTCTCTTGTACTCACTGGAGTTGAAATAGCGTTCATTTCTTCGAGAGGATCATATCGTGGTTGGTACTCTACTGGTGTTGGAGTAGGTCTATATGGATTGACAAATCTTGCTTGGTATCCTTGAACGGGAACGCCTCTTTCATCCACTGGTATAGAAATAATTCTCGTTGCAGGTCTAATATCGTACGGGACAGTTGCAGGTTCAGCTGCACTTTTAGTTTGTTGAGCTATTGGTGTTTCCTTTCTAGATAGAAATTGTTGATCCAGTACTTTGTCTTGATATTCGTAGTGGAGAAAGGGCCGCTGGTTTCCAATTGGTACTGGGGCACCTGGGTTGTCTCTTAAATATTCATCAGTTCGAAAACGAACCGTAGACTGAGGCCTTCTGTAAATTGGTTGCTGGTATAGTCTGTTATCGCTGTCTCTATGCTCTTGTATATGAACTACTGGAACAGGATTCGATGTAACAATATTTTGAGGTTCATAAACACGACCTGTACTAGCTTCCACCGTTGCTTCTTGTTCTTCGGCTGGTTCTTGGTAATGACGCTGTATATTTTGTCTTGCCTCAACTAAAGTATGAATTGGGATGAGGCGGGGACGAGAAGTTGTGGTGGTGAAAAGAGGACGTACGGTCCCGAGTGATTGATGACCGCCATAGACATCAGTTGAATCGTCCCCAGCCGATTGTTGTAAGCTCATCATGTGTGGATTAGGGCTTTTTGCAAATAGCTCCCGGTGGATGGTATTTGTCTTACTAGCCTCATATTCATCCTCATTAATATCCTCATGTACAGGTTTCACTGTGGTTGGTAAATTTGTAGTTGATTGCTTACTAATTAAATCTTCTTTCAATGTTGCCGATACTGGTTTCAATATTTGAGTCCTTGTTTTAGTTTCCTCCCTCGATTTGTATAGGTTAAGAATATTGCTAGTTGTTTCTTCAGCATTTTGATTTTCGGTTGTCGTTTCAAGATTTGCTGCAGCTCGAGCTGACGTTGAAACTGGGCGTCTTCTTGGAATTGATTGAATAACAGTTCCCCTCGTTGCACTTTCTCTAATGCTACTTCTTGTAGGATAGACAACTGTCGCTAAAGGCCTCCTGGTTGTCGATGAGATTGTTTTATTCATCCTGACTATCGTTGGTATACTTGGAGTCGTGCTGGTCACTGGAATAGGTGTGGTGTCACCGGAGGAGGAGTATGTCACGCGCTTAATTTCCCCATCCTGATCTATATATCCGAAAGTTCCTTTTACATTACCTAGCACATCTCTGCTTTCGATTTTAAACGTGCCGTCATCAGCTTCATATCCTATCGTGTATGATCCGTCTTCGTTTAATCGACGGATTTGTTTAACGATTTCAACTTTACCCGGGTCTGCGGTTTCACTTGCTTTGAGAATTTCCTTTGTAGAATTTGTAGAGGTATCGTTGACGGTTGCGTTATTGGTGGAGTTAGTTGCAGTGGCAGTGGCCAGGCACACGAGAAGTACGAAGTGAATCATTTCGCTCGGCTAACGGAGCCTGCATGACGGCGCTACGGCGCGCCCGCGCTCATGAGATCCCTATATAAAATACTGCCCCACTCGCGTCCCCGGCGTGCGAACACCTTACGCAAACAACGCCATTGTTGTCATTTCATTATCTGAAACGGAAAATCTTTTTTCTTTGCATCTACAAGTACGGTAATCACAATTATCTAACTATCTGCGTCGTTTTGAGAGTGTTTAAGCATTTTGTGGATAGTTTTCGCCACTTAATAAATATATATCAGTCGTAATTTTATACGGTGTACTGGTTGCATATTTAGGTAAAATATTCAAGCTTTATTCTGATAGTTTAATTGGTTGATTGTTTAGCAACGAACAAGTCTTTGTTAGATTTTCCCACGGAGCATACCAAGGTCATGTTTTTAGTACAACAATAAATCTTTAGGAACTTTATTCAATGCAATGTTCTTACTTTTTACTAAATTAACAAGTACCTGTTAATAACATCTTGATAGAAAAATAGTATAACCTCAGGCTTCAGCAGCGGGTTCGTTTCCCGATTTCACGTGTTTGAATAACCGATAAGCAATTTTCCAACTTTTTACCTAGTCGAACCAATGTAAAGCTTTATTATTCCTGCAGTTCAAAACACCAATGTTTATCTTAATAGAAGATGGAGGCTTCTATGGGCTACAGTTTGAACTTACCATCGGGTGGGCTGTATGCTCGTTTGTGTGTAAATTATGTCTATAAAGCGTCTCCACGACATAGAAGAAATTTCCACCCAATTTTTTGCATCATCATCATCATTGTCATTATCATTACATCCCTTAATAAGTCCGATGCTGTACCTAGGCCACCCCCAAGGAATGCCACAAAAGACGATCCTAAGCCACCTGCACCTATCGAATTCTTGCATATCATACCAGGTCGTCACTCCATCTTGTGGGATTGATCCTACAATTCGCTTATAGGTACGATGTTGCCACTCGAGAATTTTTCTTCCCCATCGGTTATCGGTTTTACGAGCTATACGGCTGGGCCATTGTCACTTTAGCTTACTAATCCGTTGGGCTATGTCGGTTACTCTAGTTCTATTGCGGGTATCCTCATTGATCAAGTTTATCACTCAGAGAAACTACCTCTTCATAGCTCACTCTCAGATCTAAATGTCATCACTGGCAACACGCACTTGTAAAATCTCGTAAATATATATACCTAAAACTTGAAAACTTGAAAACAAGCTATTGCGTAAAAAGTATAAAATCTAAATAGAAACTGAAGGTGGTTTTTGCATTATTTTCGGGCATTTATATAGAAAGTAATAAAACATATTCCGTCTACTAGAAACGCCGATTTATTTTCATTTACTTGTGAAAACATTGTCGCGTTTGCGATATCCGTTGTAATATACAAAAACGCTGTCTTCTGTGCGAGGCTAGGTAGCGACTGAGTGTTCTTTTTTATGGTAGTTATTATTACTTATAACTACATGTTATATTATATAATATATCAATTAAATATAACTTTGTATTATTTTATATAATATATTAATTAAATATAACTTTATATAATATTTGATACATATCAAATATGTTTACAGTATGCCTCACCCATAGATTGTTTCATGATGTGATATATGCCTTAGTTACCACGTTTGGCAATCTGTTTGGCAGCCGTGGTTTTTTATAATTTTGAATTCTTATAAGATGCTGCTGCCAGTCTCTTGTTTCATTTCCCTCTGTGACCCTTTACGACAGTAGATTATCTTAATTTAGCACTACATACATTAATATTTAATTTTATTTTATATTATTTATCTCACAAATAAAGTACTGTGGCAGCCCTTCATAGATTGCCTTAAAATTTCATAGTACACGAGTCAACGAATTCGAGCCCGCCGACAACAATGGAATTGTTAATTACAGTTTTAAGTACTGATTTACAATGTGTTCATCGGTGAAAAAAACTATTATAACGATAAACCTGTATATTTAATTATTTACAAATATTTCGAGAAAATTTAATTACTTTTTAAAAGGCCGGCAGTATGCGATTCCCCTGGTGTTGCAGTTGCTCATGGGCGGCGGTAATCACTTACCATCAGGTGAGCCGTATGCTCGTTTGCCCCCCTCCTATTAAAAAAAAACTCTTTCTTGGCCACTTTGAGACAAACGAGCACACACTCCACTTGATGGTAAGTGGATATTGTGGTACATTAACATTTACAACTCTCCTCAATTACGAATCAAAATGTAGATACGTTGTCAACCCTGAGGACTGGACTAGAGTACCCTCGTATCCAGTAAAAGGGGTCTTCGGTTCTGTACACTCACCATACAAAACAGCAGCATTGAGCTTCTATTTTACGGAGCGTGCTCCTTTCCCAGTTGAGCCGACCCATTCGTGCTACTTTATATAAAAATAGTGACAATGGCATTAATGCCACTTATACTCTTATTAACAACGTCAAGTTAGTTTAACACTCTTACGCTATGAATACGCTTCATGACAATAATCGAATGACGGCTTCAAATCCTAGACTTTTTAGTTTAGTTTTAGTTTTACGATCCTGTTTAACGATACTGTCACTTGAAAGTAAATAACTTAAACTTTTAATGACTTTAATTTTGCAGTAAAATACTTGCTATGATAGGAACCACCACATAAAAGGTTGCAGTGTCCTATCGTTACGTTTTCACCGCGACTACCTTTTTTACTTAAATCTAATCAATATTGAATAAAATTTTTAGTCACCTTGTAGAAACTTGTAGTGTATAAACAGTACATATTTTTAAGACTTTTCCTAAATAAAATTTAAAACTATCATATGGTGCGCTAAACTGATACACTTTTATATTTTTTAAAGAGCTATACATCAGAAAATTAGCGGCGAATATCATTCACCCTGGTAACGAATGAATATCAATGAAATACCTAACTGTACCTTAACATTCTAATGGCTGTAAAGCCTATAATTAGCATTTGACGTAACTAAAGAAAATATATTCCTGGCTGAAAACGAAAAGAATATAAGAGAGAAAAACTATTAAAGAAATAAAGATAACTTTTATAACCACCGGCTTTCACACGACTTAACTAATATAATAAGATTTATATCAAATACAAAGTTGTTACGTTATGAGTATCTATCGATAACGTGATACTAGGGTTGTCAACCTTAGGATATAATATGTATTATTGGCATTATATACTACATAAGATAAAGCATATTATATAGTATATAGCAAGGCCTTGTTGGTCTAGCGGTTGTAGTAGTGCAACTGATGATCATAAGTAAAAGATTCCGGAAGTTGGCGTTGTCTCATCCCCGTGCTTCGTAGAGCCGTTGGTCCTGCGCCTGATCTCTCTCCGGTCATGTCGGCTTACAGTCCCATCTTATTATGAGAGTGAGGGAATGGAGAGTGCACCTGTGCTTGCGCATACACTTGGGCACTATAATCCTGTCCTGCGACTAGCCAGTCTCCGTTGAGACAGGTAAATTCGTTATTATTAGTATTACTTAACTGTCTTATTGGTCTAGCGGTCGTGAACGTGATAACTAATTATGAGAACTCGGGTTCGATTCCCGGGTCAGCCGAAAAAATCGCTGTGGTAATGCGATTCGCACTCTAAAATTTCATCACCTCATATCATCAGGCGGGATTGTAATCAGGCAAGCTTTTAATATAAAAATGAAACTGAATTAACGCTAATCTTCATACTAACCGATTGCTAATCATAAAGCTTAAATCCCGGTCGACTAAAATCAGTTATTGGCTTTTTTCTGTCAAGAAGTTCTCATTAGCAGCTAGGAAGTAGCCAGTGATTTGCCCCGGTTTCGGTAAGTATAAAGCCGTTGGTCCTGCGTTTGATCTCTCTCCGGTCATGTCGGTTTACGATCCCATCGGATTATGCGAATGAGAGAATAGAGATTGCACCTACGAGTATGCCTGCGCATGCACTCGTGCACTATAATCCTGCGCAGATGGCCAGTTTCTGTTGAGACTGGTTACCGTGACCGAAATTTAGTCAGGAGGACATTATGCGATATAGAGTCGTACTTGTATTATAAAACCTGTAAAGTAAAAGTAAAGTTACAGTACGTCTGACTACTGAGCACAGGCCTTCTTATTTCTGGGAGTGTTGAAAGGCTTCATGTGAGCCCGAAATATTTTAACGATAAATGTTGGTGGCTCAGAACTGGCTTTTATGCAATCCACTTAAGTGGGCCTATATTGAACAGTATTGTTGTGAAGGGCATTATTTTATATTATAATTAACTGTATCAGATCTATAATATATAATAGGTACATATGAAATTGGCGTTTTGTACGGGAGGAATGTAAAGTCAACTTTTTTTCTTAAAATATATTTAATTAATCAAAGTATGCACCGTTGTTATCTATGCACTTTTGCCATCTCATAGGTAGTTCATTGATCCCTTTACTAAAAAAATAACTATAAGGGTGAGAATCAATAAACTCTTTGAAAGGTTTGGACTGCCGTATCGGAGTTTAATTTTTTTCCTTGTAAGAAGTTGTCTAAAGTCCGGAAAAAATGATAATCTGTTGGAGCAAGGTCCGGGGAGTACGGTGGATGTCGCAGACATTCCAATTGTAGCTCATCTAACTTAGTGGTTGTTTGTCTTGCGTTGCCGTGAAGCAGCAGTGGCCTAGAGCGATTGACCAATCTCGGTTGTTTAGCAGCTAGTTCTTCCTTCATGGTTTGCAGTTGCTGACAATAGATATCTGCCATAATCGTTTGGCCAGATTTTAGAAAGCTGTAGTGAACGCGGCACGTGAAGCTCTCCATAAAGATAAAAAATAACAAAATTCAGAAAAAATAACTTTTATTGCCAAAAATATTTTCGTTATAAATGATTAAGTACACATTTTTATTAAGTATTAATTTGAACTCTTCTATATACAATAATTTTCTGTATTGTAAAGATAGTAATTGTATGTTCAAATAGTTGGTCCGATTTGTTGGCAACCCTAAACGACACTGAGAAA